AAATAAACAAGCCAAAACAACAACAAACCAACCCCCCATATGTTATTGTTTTGCTGACAATTTGGGGAATATAAACTATAGTTTGCTTAAAACACACTGGGTGCATCAATCAGAATGTTAGCTGGGAAATGAGACGGTTGAAACAATTTTAATAAACAGTCTCTTTACAGAGGATGAGTAGGACCAAGCCAGATGAATGAGACACCAGGGGACAAGCAGTAGTGTGGGAACACTTGCACTCCTGGCGTGAAGGACAGCAGGAGGGAAAGGTTCTTCAGGGGACCTGTGAATGCTTTCACCAAAGAAAAGAGATGGTGAGCTGAGCCATTGCGGTGGGAATTCAGCTTTTCTCCTTCCTGCTCTGGTATCCTGGCAGAGGGCTCAGAATCTGGCTATCCAGACTTGGACACAGACTGCTGTGGCCGCACAGCTAAATGGGGAAGAGTAAATTTATTAGAAATATCACCTGCGGGCAGGGAGGAGGAGGAGCATGGGCTCAGGAATCATATTTATCTTGTTCCAGATTGCACAAGTCACCAGCATTTAGAGGTCAATGGTATTTAAATCCATGTTCCTTGATCTGAAATTTTTGGAATAGCACTGTTTTGTTGTTTGTTTGTTTGTTTGGTGATTAATTAAAGTTTCCTTTAATTTTAAGAAACTTTTCTTGCAAACTTGTCGCTTTTCTCCTTGAGGCAAAGCAGTAACAGCAGCCATGATCTAGCTAATGGTCATTGTATGAAAATGGCTCAATGTCTTCATTACTACAGAAAGTTCTTTTGAACATTGGCCAGGGACCTTGCGTACAGCTCTGAGTGGTGAAGATTCAAAACCTGCCTTCTAGAGCTAGTCTCAACCTGTGGGTCATGGCCAATTTTGGGGTCACATATTAGATATCCAGCAATATCAGATAGCCAGGTTTGTAACAGTAGCAAAATTATGGTTATGAAGTGGCAGTGATGGAACTGTATTGTTGGGAGTCACCACAACACGAGGAACTGTGTTAAAGGGGCGCAGCATTTAGGAAGGTTGAGAACCACTGCTGAGAGCCCTCTCTGTGGGGGGGGGGGTAGAGGAGATCCTGAGTGAATTCATATTGTTTGATGCTAGCATGAGCATGGAGTTATCAAGAGCCCCAACACATCAGATCCACCAGAACGGCAAAGCCTTTCCCTGGTCTTTGTGTGAATGTTGACAGCATATATGGAACGTTCCAACTGCAGCTCCCTTCTGGATGTTTAGAGCTTGAGGCTCCTCTCTCATAAATCTTCTACCAAGACTAAACCTGCCTCCTCCTTCAGCTGTATACGAGAAACCTGTCACCTGAATTCATATGTGTAAAAGAAACGTGTTGAGTTTCTGGCTGTTGTGTTTCCATCAGAGTGCTTGGCCCACCCAACCCCAGCTTTCTGTGCATGTGTGTCTGCGTGTGTCCTGTCTTCATTCCCTGCCATGTGAGTTAGGTCAATCAATGAGCCCTACAGAGCAGCACCTCTTCTTGATGACAGAGGCCATTGTCTGAGTTTGTGCACTTTTCCTGTACAGCAACACAACAGAAATGATGTTGATGATGATGAGGAGGAGGAGGAGAAAGAGAAGCATCCACCTTTATTCAATGTATAACATGTGCCAGGGTGCTACAGTTTTAAATATACACAATGTCATTTAATAGCCATCAAAATCTTGAAGAAAACACCACCATTATTTTCATGTTAACAACGTGGGAACAAGTTGAGAGAATTGTAACCACATAACTATTAGGTCATACCAGATGAAACTGCCAAGATTCAGTCATGTTTGATGAAAATGTCAACTGTGTTTCAACTTGGTGTTGTAGATTGCAGAATGAGCTTTCATATCAAGAGCAAAATCATGGTGACTAAGTCGTTGTCAGTGACCAATGAAACCTTCATGAAGCAACCGAAGTATTAAATTAAGTAATGTTCCTGTGACTGCTGTACAGTGAAACTCACAAAATGTTCTTTGTGTGTGTGTGTGTGTGTGTGTGTGTGTGTGTTAATTTCATTCTGCCTGCCATTCTTACTCCTTGGGGGAAGCTGTGCACAGCTGTCTGAACAGATGTGGCCAGTGAGACTGGGAGGAGGCAAGTTGCTGTTGACTAGATCCCATCCCAGAGCCCTGGAGAGTTCCAACCTTGTTATCAGTGCCCCCACCCCCACGCAATGCACCCCTACTCCTGTCTCTCAGGGAGTTTTTTCTGCTTTGCAGTTCTGGGTCAGTCTCTCTTGTCTAGTGGAGAGGGAGGTCTCCCCTGGTCCCTGTGCCCCTTGATAACCCAGAAGTTTCACTTCATCAGCAAATCCATCCCTGGAGTCGAAGGGCAGGAGGGCTGGACATGGATGGAAGTGTGTTAGGTGGATATGTGAGCCAGCTCAGCTCACATGATTATTTCTGGCAAGGAGGCTCATTCAAAATTCCTCTTCTTTTTAGTTGGCAAGAGGGAAGAGATGGCTGAGGGGTATGCTGTCTGGGTGTGGCTTTAGGGCTTTTGGGGTAATTATATAGGAAAACTTTGCCTCTGAAATATAGTACAGAATTGTCAGATTTAGCAAAAGAAAGATGCCAGACTTGGAGTTATATTTGAATTTTAGGAGTACGTAACTATGCAAGATTTGGGGTATGTTTCCGTTAAAAATTGTTGCTCATCTAAAATTCCACTTTACCCCATGCCTCGTCCGTGTGGCATATTAAGAGCTGTGGTGTTCAGGGCCAATTAAGCCGTGAGGCTGCTTCTTCGTGAGGGATGGAATCAAGGCCCTTAAAAAGATACCTCAAAGCAGTGTTCCATTAGCCTTCCTTTCGCCTTGTTGAGACACACTGTTCTGTGTAAAGTGCACCAATAAGGCACCATCTTGACTGCAGAGCGCAGCTTGAACCCACAACCTAACTAAAGACCATGTTTTCATCTTGAACTTCTACCCTCCAGAGCTGAGGGAAATAAACATATATTTTAAAAATCTATTGCTCAGTCCACAGTATTCTGTTACAGCCCCACAAAACAGACTAAGACACTCTTCTAACATGCTGTTGCTGTGAAACACCACAACATAAAGCAACTTGGGTTGAAATTCATCATTGAGGGAAGTCAGGGCAAAAGCTTGAAGCAGAAACCATGGAGGGATGATGCTCGCTGCCTTCTTTTCTGGCTTGTTCCCTGGCTCACATTCATCTAGCTTTCTCATACAGCCTAGGCCCACCTGCTAGGGATGACGATGCCCACAGTGGGCTAAGCGCTCAAGCAATAATCACCTGTTAGCACCAGCGCTTCCTTACAGAGCCAAGATTACCCTGCAGTCACCAGTCAAGATAACCTCACAGCCGTGCACACACCCCTCTGATCAGAGCAATCTCTCAGTTGGGGTTCCCACTTCCCAGGTGACTCTAGAGGTCAGCAAAGATGTCTTGACCTCCTAGTAATCTTAGAACAGTACACTTCTGTCCACCTTTTAGACACGTTGTCATAATGTATGCGAACCACACGTTTAGACTTCCAACAGAACCTCGTGCTTCAGATGAACCTAGGCTTAAAGTCCAATCCCTCCATTTCAGTGGCTAGGTGAGTGTAGCTAGATCATTCAACCTTGCTAAACTTCCTTTTCCCATTAACTAGAAGGACCACAGCATCTAGTTTAGGGATTGAGGGTTAAATGAAGTTACATACTGTATGTATAGGCCCTAGCATTTGCCACCGTCAGCAGCACAAATTACAATTATTTATGATCCAGATGGGACAATCATACCCTAAGAGGAATTCAATAGTGTCACAGGCTCCAGTTACAGGGGCAAATCTCTGTGTGCTCTGTTCAAATGAGCCTTCAATTTCAAGACTTCGATTTACAGTGGCCCTGTGGACCCAGAAAGGAATTAAAAAGAAAGGTCTCAAGGAGAGAAATGACCTGCGGGCACTGGTTTCCAACTCTCAGTCTAGAGAGGTGTTTCTTTCAGTGCCTGCCACACAGCAATTGTTGAAAAGGCAGTTTTGCTCTCCCGCCCCTTTTCTGGGGAACGGAAAGAATGGGAGTCTGAGTAAGGACAGTGGGGGCTCCTTTCCAGGGAGGGATGAACTCACACATACAGGCACATTTCCTGGACCAAGTCTGGGTTTCCATAGTAATCCTGGACAGAGGGTCTCAATGCTGGCATCACTGATATGGAATAATTTGTAGAGCTAGGGGCTGTCCTGTGATCTGCAGGGCGTTGTACGGCGTTCCCTGCATCTGGTAGATTGGCAAGGCATGGGATGCCTCTCCGTGCTTCTCCAATCTACCAGATGCAGGGAACCTGTCCTGTCCTCTTTCACTATAGTGACCACCAAGAACATCTCCAAGTACGACCCGGGGAGTAGGACAGCCTTTGGCTGTGAATTACTGAGGATATCCTGGGCAATACCCACTCAGACACTTTGAATAGCTCTCCAGGATCAGGTGTCCAGCACTTATAAATATTACCTCCAATCTCAACACTCATCTTAAAAGGTAGGTGCGGCTTTGTGCATCTCACAATGGAAGACGTTGAGGCTTAGAGGACTGAAGTAAGTTCCCACAACCAGCCCGGCTGGGTAGATCTGGGATTCTGAGAGGCTGGTCTGACTCCAAAGCTTATACAGTTCCTGCTGTAACACTCCATTCTCTGGAAAATTAAGAGCCCCTCCTCTTGCTTTGAACTAGGAAAATTCATCTCCAGTCAATTCAAGTCTAAAAGTGTGTATCGCCCTAGATGCCATGAGAAGCTAAAAGAGATATCTAAGATGTTGCTGTGTTGGAGCCATTTCCAGCACAATACAATACAGTTAAACACAATCCAGTTAAAGAGCAGTGTGAGGCTTGAGTTTGGGCCCAAACGAGCATTCCTAAAGTTGGAACTCTGAACTGAATGCTTTGTGTGTGTTGGCTTCCCATCCCCTTTGCTGCCAGAAGAGACCATAATTTTAAAAGCTTTGAACCTCGTGGGTTCTACCAGCCTCGCATCCTAACGAACCATTAGCTCTCTTGCCTTGTGGCGGGCTGTGTGTGACTTCCAGATAAGCATTCAGCCATCTTCTTTGTGGCTCTCTGCATGAAGTTCACCTTTCCGCGTTCCCTACGGATGGCGGTGTACTCGTAGGCTTTGAGCTTGCTGTAGTAATCGGAGAACTTGTTGTAGAGGATGGAAATGGGCATCCCGTTGAGAATAATCCCGAAAGCGATGCAGAGGAAGGCAAAAAGCCTGCCCAGATGGGTCTCTGGGTACATGTCTCCATAGCCCACAGTGGAGATGCTTACCTGAAAAGGAAACCAGAATGGAACTGTTAGCCCTGAGAAGGAAGAGAAAGGGGGAGAATGCTGCAGTACAGAGCTCTGACACCCTGCAGATGCACAGAGAAACCACTAAGCTGTCCCCAGGGAGGCGGCTTTCAGAACTGCTGGCAGGACTGTGCCTTGGGAAGAATGCAAAGCTGTGAAGCTGAAAGACTGGTTTAAATCCTGACTATGGCACACCAATGTTTTCAGATGCAGTCCAGGAAAACAAGATGGACTTTAAAGAGCTGTAGGAACAAATATTAATGTAACATATGTTCAATTCCCATCATAGAACATGTTCAGTAATTGTCTTTCTTTTCACAACTCTCCCAGCAGGGGCCTGTGTTAGGACAAGGGGATTCTCTGGATTCTCTGAGAAAAAGCTCAAGCTTTGAAGCAATCAGACTGTGTTCAAGTCCAGACTGCCCCTTGCCAGCTGTCAGATCTTGGGATATACATTCAGACATTGGGACCATCTCTCAGAGTTCTAGCAAAGATGAAATGCAAAACTGAATATAAAGCAGTGGGCACAGTATCAGGCACCCAGGGCATCAAACAGCTCCACTGCGCTCCCCTCCTCTTTAAAAGGAGACACTGCTCAGAGCTGTTGTGTACTTCAACTGGCTTTTGAATGGAGACGCTTTCATTGTACTCATCTAGAGAAACACACTCATTAGTCTGTGAACGGACCTTCGGAAGACCTCATAGAACAAAGATGTGTTCACCCTTCGTGAAATTCCTTTCATCATTCTTGTCACACTGTTTTAAATCCCACTAATTAGAGATTTATTTAGGTTAACAAGCTTCCGGTTTAACATGTAGATTCCCGTGGGACTAGCTATCACTCAGCATAGCCAGAAAAAAACCCTGGGGACTGTTTTTTTTCATGCCTCATATGCTTCTGTTGGTCCCCAGACTAAGTCACTGGCAGGCTCTGGAGCAGGGCTGTTGCTCACAGTGGTAAAACCTTCCTGTTGCCCAACTCCGGGGGCTCTGGCTGCTCCATGGGTTTGTGCCATGGTTGTCCTGATCTTCCAACAGATGGCAGTGATTATACAGTCACTCCCTTGCCACACTGAGATGGGCCTTGGCTCAGAAATGCGAGCACCTTGCTGATGATGCAAGGGTTCGTTTGAACTTTCCAATGTGGTTGATTGATTAGAACAGAACGGAGAAATGAACCAGCTGGGCAAAGCCAGTGGCACTGATAAGAGCGAGCCACAGACCCACATAGCCCTCAGAAAGGAAGAGGTGTGCCTCCAAGGAAGGTCAGGCTTCAAGGCTCGTTGCTCCATCTCTGACAAGGGAATGACTTTTCCCATGATAGAACACTAGCAAGCATGACAGAAGCAGGGCGGCATAGATAGGGTTAAAGAAATAAGGACCACCCTCAGCTACCTGGGTTCTCTTCACAGTTGTGTGAGTTTTGGGCAGAGCAGCTAAATTCTCTCTGCCTCAGTTCCCATTTTTGACATCCAGAGATAATAACAGTACCTACCTTGCAGGATTGTAATAGGGATTGAAGGTGTGTCTAGCTACAGGCTGTGGGAACACATGGCTAATGGAAACCTGAGGGACACTTGTCTTATAGCTGGCCCCATAGTTCTAATCTGTTACTAACACTGTCACTTACACCCCAGGATGACCAGGCAACTGATTTTCAATAGAGGCCACTGAAGAGAGTTTGGTTCCTGAGACAAGTGACAGGAAGGAGTAGTTTTAGAACATGCTTTCAGCTCCAAAGGAGATGGCCTTGCAGTTAGCCAGACACAGAAGGGTCCAGCAGTGTATGGAGGTGGGAGCTGGGAAGACATAGAGAAAAAGAGACGATTAAGACAAAGTGCCATTATTAAGCTTTTGATTAATGTCCATAATGGCTTGCCTTCTCCCCCAACCTTACGCCTTTTTTAAGTTTTCTTTCCCATAAATCATCAAGACCTTTACATTTTATTTCTTCTTTTTTTTCTGAGATGATAGTATAATTGCACCTATTTTATTTTTATTTTTTGGCTGAACTTTGAGTGAAAAAAAAAAAACAAAAGCAATTTGCTTTATCTTTAACAAAAATGAATAGCCAATATGCATAATCAGATCTGAGAAATCTTGAGTATCTTGGATCTCTAATTTTAGAGAGGGGAGCTCTCCTGCTAAGAGGCTGTGGGTGCCTGGTCTCCAAGAGTATGTTCAGAATATAGTTGTTTTGCTGTCTGTTTTATAGATAATTTGATTCAATATGTAACCTTGTTCTCTTTCTTTTCTTTTCTTTTCTCTTTTGTTTTCTTTTCTTTTCTCTTCTCTTCTTCCTTCCTTCCTTCCTTCCTTCCTTCCTTCCTTCCTTCCCTCCCTCCTTTCTTCTTTCTTTCTTTCTTTCTTTCTTTCTTTCTTTCTTTCTTTCTTTCTTTCTTTC